ACAACAGTTTCAGTTTCATCAAATTAGACTAGTGTAACTGTCAGTAAGACCTTGTGATGTAAAGCACGTTGTGAGGTCGTAAAAAGGGCAGCACAGTAGGCAACCATTGATATAAATAAAAATATCAAATTCTTAAATTATGCAGACTAGTAGCTGGACAGCGTCTAAGGTGAGTTTTGTTTGGTATTTCGATCTTCAAATATTAATATTATTCCCTTTTTTTTTCTAGGTTTTTTTTTTTATCAAACGTTACAAACATTCAAAAATACTTATATTTGGAAGGAACTTTCAAAAGTGAATTTCGTACAGACTAATAGTGATCACTTATATTATAAAAAAAAAATTAAAAGAAAAAACTTACCATAAAGAAATCAGAAAGGAAGTGAAGAAAATGAACAATATCTAACACAAGTAATATCCAATATAGTATGTACATTGATTCATCGGGTACAGTTTCCAAAGAGAGTACCAGAACTGAAGTGACAACTAGCTCGATTAACCACGTAATGAAAAGCCAGCGGGAATACCAAGTACCATTTTGTGCATCCACATGCGTTTGCATCCACTGTTATCATAGATAATAAATTAATATATTGTACCTATCATGAGGATTAACAACAGGCTGTAATTGCGATTTTGATGGTGATATTGGACTATATCTTAATTTTTTTGTACCAATAAATGAAAATAAAAATAGAAGAAAATAGTAGGTAAGAATTTAATTTCATTATCTTGCATAGCGACGGGGATTCTTTATTGTGGATAAATGTAGATGTCTATGGGTCACAGCAACCACTTACCATCAGGTGGACTGTGTGCTCGTTTGTCACCCTATCCTATAAAAAAAATATTTTCAGTAATACGAATGATATTAAAGCTTAGTGGGTTTATATAAAAGAATTATTGGAGATAAGCCTTTTCGTGAAATCGCATTACTGACATTTCAAAAAGATAAAATGTAGATATTTTCCATCGAAATTTGAAACTATCAAAGCTAATATAAAAAATACCACACAGTAGTACGTTATACTCGTAGATCCTAACTTTTAAAAATGTAAGATGTTTCCGAGTAATATATATAATTTCAATAATTCCATGAATTATTCGAGTTAAAGTACGAGAAGAGAGAATTAGTTTGCCTTAATCGTCTAGCTTAGCAGCCAAATTCTAGACGGTCGTAATGCCATCATATGACTATCACTTCTTCCCTTCGCTGAATTTGGTACTTTATGTCAAGCATAAAGTAGATGGTTATACTGCCACCTAACGAGAGCCTTAAGACCTTTCTGGCATATATGGGACATGCCAGACATATCCCGTAGTCACACCTTACGACACCTAAAAACGAATTTGGGTTATGGAATTTATTGCGCCGCCACCACACTGCAATATTAGATCTTAAAGTAAATAAATGGCAATCAACGCCTTAGCATATTAATTATTAAGTTTTTTTTAATAGGATTGGGTGACAAACGAGCACACAGTCCACAACTTGAAACGTTTTCGTCACTGTTGCACAACCTAGTTTAAAATATACAACGATAAAAATTATATTTATTACATAACAATTTTATATTTGTCGACCAATCTGGCGAGGTAAAAATATTAATTACCCCAAACCGTCCCGTGGGTGTCGTAAGATATGACAGGGGGAAACAAACCAGAAGGTGGACGAGTGATTTCCTAATAACAATTAAAAATAAAAACTGTGGTTGCCAACGCGTCCACCATTCGTGGTAACTAAGGAAAATATCAATGTATATATATATATATATATGGCAAATGAGGCAATTTATGGGAGAGGCCTATATTCAGACGTCGTCTTTTGATTTGCTGTAATGGTAATTTTACATTTGTAAATTTTAACAATTTTACATCTATACACATTGGACCGTGTGGTGGCGGCGTGAGAGAATCCATTAGTCCGTAATTCCATAGTTCCGTTCCGTTAGTGTCGGATAAAAGACGACTATGGAAAAGCAAAAAAGTTATAATGGCTTTCGAAAGATGCGGTATTATCATAGTAGGTATTAAAGTTGGTAAAAAATTACTTCGCGTACATTCACTCTATAAAATAAAATTATGTGTCTTACCTAGTTTGAAGAGCACTTCCCGCCCTCCCTCAATTACGTGCACTATCACCGTCACCACTAATCCCAGCACCACTACTCCCAACACCACTACTCCCAACACCACTACTCCCAACACCACTACTCCCAACACCACTACTCCCAACACCACTACTCCCAACACCACTACTCCCAACACCACTACACTACGAAAGACACACCACTGACGACAATACGACACGTGTTTCGCCTCTACACGAGGCATCTTCTTCAGATCTAGACTCTGCGGTGGCTGACCGCTATGGATGTACGCGAAGTAATATTTTACCAACTTTAATATAATGGACTTCCGCAAAGTAACGCCTGATTATATTAATTATAGTAGGTATTATCATAGTAGGTATTACCATAGTAGGTATTATAGTAAGGAGTCCGTCTGGGTAAGCAGCACCCCCTTACTTATTTCTGCCGCCATATTTCAATATTTGCAGTTCTGTGTTCAAATCTGAAGGGTATATATATATATATATATATATACAAGCTATGAGGCAATCCATCTTAATCCTGCGAGGTGACAACGCCCCCGTAGTTTTCTTTGTTTGAAATTAGGTCTCCATGTACTTACAATAGGCACTTTCTTTTAGGTGGAATTTAATTTCATTTGTCACTTATGTTTTATAAAAGAAATCATCACATTACTCCAGGCAAAAAATTCCCATGCAAGCGAAGGGCTGCGAAACGTCTAGTGCTGCTAAAGTTAATCCACGTGCCAAACATGACGAGTAAGGCGAATTCGCCTTACAAAACGAAAAGATCGTATACAGCGGTGGATTATTATGATAAATAATAAGTACATTTGTACTTGTAAGTCAGTGCCTAGAAGACTGCAATGAAGTGGACGATATGAATGACAAGCTCGTGGAAACTGTCCATGCGGTCGGAGCTAAGTTCTGCAAGACCCGCCGCAGAAGAACACAAAAACTCTCCGATCACACTCTTAATCTCATGGCTGTTAGACGGGAGATGAAGCTACATTCTTCAACAGACTTGACAGCATACAGTCATCTGAACAGACAGATCTCCAAATGCATGCGGCGGGACTTACGCAACTTCAAAACAGCTCGTATTGAAGAAGCAATCGAGCGGAACCAAGGCTCCAAAGTCTTTGCCAGAGATCTGTCTGCCAGAAAAAGCCAACTGTCAAAGCTGAAGACAGAATGTGGCAGCATCGTTTCCGGGACACCTGAGATTTTGAGTGAGATTGAGAGGTTCTATGGGCAGTTGTACACGTCATCGTTGGAGCCACACGCAAGTGTGAGTAACGATCCAAGAACGAGTCTCATCCGACACTATTCCGAAGATATCCCGGACGTTAGTCTGAGCGAGATTAGAATGGCTCTCCAGCACCTTAAAAACGGTAAGGCCCCAGGCGAGGATGGAATTACAGCGGAGCTTCTGAAAGCGGGTGGAAAACCGGTACTTGAAGTCCTTCAGAAGCTCTTTAATTCCGTCCTCCATGGTGGCATTACACCGGAGGCGTGGAGCAGAAGTGCAGTGGTCTTGTTCTTCAAAAAAGGTGACAACGCTCTCTTGAAGAACTACAGACCGATTTCCCTTCTGAGCCTCGTCTACGTGCTGTTTTCGAGAGTCATTACGAATCGTCTCGCGCGCAGACTTGACGACTTCCAGCCTCCCGAACAAGCCGGTTTCCGAAAGGGCTTTAGCACCATAGACCACATACATACCCTTCGGCAAATTGTACAGAAGTCCGAAGAGTACAATTTGCCACTATGTCTGGCGTATGTGGACTATGAGAAAGCCTTTGATTCCGTCGAAATTTGGGCGGTGCTGCAGTCCCTTCAGCGGTGCCAAGTTGACTGTCGGTATATCGAAGTGTTGAAGAGCTTGTACAGTAGGGCTACGATGGCTATCCGAGTACAGAACCAGAGTACGAAACCTATCCAATTGCAGAGAGGTGTAAGACAGGATGACGTCATATCCCCGAAACTCTTCACCGCTGCATTGGAAGACGTTTTCAAGCTTCTGGACTGGAAAGGATACGGTATCAACATCAATGGCGAGTACATCACTCACCTTCGATTTGCCGACGATATAGTCCTTATGGCAGAATCGCTGGAGGACCTAAGCACTATGCTCAATGACCTCAATAGTGTTTCCCAACGGATAGGTCTTAAGATGAACATGGACAAAACTAAGATCATGTTTAATGTCCATGTCACACCTATGCCGGTAGTTGTTGGGAACACTAAGCTCGAAGTTGTTGACGAGTATGTTTACCTGGGACAAATAGTCCGACTAGGTAAGTCCAACTTCGACCGAGAGGTCAATCGACGGATTCAACTCGGTTGGGCAGCGTTCGGGAAATTACGGCACATCTTCTCGTCAGGTATACCTCAAACCTTGAAAACGAGACTGTACACCCAGTGCGTGTTTCCAGTGATGACATACGGAACTGAGACGTGGTCCTTCACTGCTGGCCGGATGAGGAAGCTCAAGGTCGCTCAGCGAGCTATGGAGAGGGCTATGCTCGGAGTTTCTCTGCGTGATAAACTTAGGAATGAGGATATCCGCAGTAGAACCAGAGTAACCGACATAGCCCAACGGATTAGTAAGCTGAAGTGGCAATGGGCCAGCCATATAGCTCGAAGAACCGACAACCGATGAGGAAGAAAGTTTCTCGAGTGGCAGCCTCGTACCGGTAGGCGAAGTGTAGGGCGTCCCCCTACGAGATGGAGTGACGACCTGGTAAGACATGCAGGAAGTCGATGGATGCAGGTGGCTCAGGACCGTGCTTTGTGGCATTCTTTGGGGGAGGCCTATGTTCAGCAGTGGACTTGTGAAGGGCTGTAATGATGATGATGATGACATTTGTTGTGAATAGGAGGAATATTATTTAACATAAATAATTAATTAACCTCCTTTTCTATCTCTTGGATGCATCCATTCACTGTAGTCAATTGTAGCATTAATATGAGGTGGTATTTCAGGAACATTCATAGGAAATTTTTCTTCTGAAATTTAGTCAATCAGCTTAAACAAACAAGACATTGTAATGTTATGTTGTATTAACTAAATATTGAACAAAACTAAATACGTAGTAGCCATTCCAATTGTCGGTAATTAATAATGAATACCAGAAATTCCTTAAAAAGATAGTTTTATTAACAAAACAATATGACAATTTAAAAATAATAGTGTTCGATATTATTAAATAAACTGTATCGAAAACTCATATATTTAGAAAAATATGTAATAAAAAAAATTAAAAAAGTAGTTTCTTAAATATAAGAACAAGAGAAAAATAATACTTCACCTCTACATGCAACCATTATCCAACCACAGGTCATAGCGTGTAGAATCAATAGCACTGATATAAATTTTAGTAATAGAGAACCAAATCTGCTCTATGAAAAAAATAAATTCATAAAACAACGTAAAACTAGAAAAGTACATCTTATTTCCTACAAATAAATAATAGTCCAGTTCGTAGGAGATAAAGTCTATGCTTTAATAATAATTATAATAAATTTATTTCAGAGTCAAACTCCATACTTTGTTAGTAATAACAATAAACTTAAAATGAATGTTTAGTACATATAGAAATAAACACAATCATACATATTTTATATTAAACCTAATAGCTCTGGACCCCATATGCACAGTGTTCCAGTGCCGCACAACCGGGCAATCAAGCCTTCCCAATACAGTACATAAGAGTTCGTTGGCACTGTCTTACTATTGAATAACGCTGTCCTTGTTAGCCTTAGCAAAGATACCTGATGCACTGCAATAGCGAGACAGTCCCATGAGCATCCTTTATTATATATCTATACATTATTGTACTGAATACGTAGAGCATTTACAGATCCGCAAGTATTACTTAAACCCACAGGCTGCAGGTGTAAAACGTTTGCTTTTTAAGAAGTACTGCGTTAAAAAGGGTTATCTAGACGGATTTTAAAAGGAGATAAAGTTTTTCTCTTTCGCTACCGTGTTATCTTGAAAAAAAGCTCCAAATAAAACTTTTTACGGAATTCAGCAATCTTTGATCATTTTTTTGACAAAAATGTTTAGTACTGTAAATACAAAATAGAGACTGACAAAATTTCGCCACATTTGTTACAAATAAATCGCAAACTATTTTATCAGCCAGATAATTTTTTGGATTTATTTTTATTAATTGAATTGGTCCTTTAGTTAAAGGCCAACATATGGTTAAATATCCGAAGAAAGCTTAGCCAGATCGCTTGACGTGAAGTTTAACAAAGGTTTCGGCCACGTCAGTTTACGACATAAGTTTAAATTCAATTCCTTTGAATCGTTCTTGACAAGTTCATGCTTACGTTGTTTAGTTTTCTTCTTTTCTATCCTTATTTGACGCTAAATGTTTCATTACGAAAAAAAATCTGGTAATTTAACAACAACGTAACAAAAAAAAATTTAAAATAAAATTCGAGAACATAATGTTATATATTACCTGGAATCCCGTGCAGAAATAATTATAAAAATCGTAGAGAAGCCGAAGCCTTACCAGCTTTACTAATTGATATAACCAATTCCCCCACATAAAGGTAACTAAAGGTACAACCAATGAAATTATATCTGCGTAACAACCCCAATCCAACAGCTTTCTATACTTCAAAGTCCTCATCACGCATTCACCTTTTACAACTACTAACTCCATCTAAAATTTGTAATATTTTTAAGGATAAGTCTATTATAACACGTACTTATACCAAAAAGCGAGACCAGTTGAGAAACAAATACTACACTACAATTTTATTTTATTTAATTTTAATAGTGACAAAGGTTTCGTTTATGGCTTTATATACCTAAAATATGCTTTGGGGCGTGGCATGAGTTCATGTGACAACAGTTTCAGTTTCATCAAATTAGACTAGTGTAACTGTCAGTAAGACCTTGTGATGTAAAGCACGTTGTGAGGTCGTAAAAAGGGCAGCACAGTAGGCAACCATTGATATAAATAAAAATATCAAATTCTTAAATTATGCAGACTAGTAGCTGGACAGCGTCTAAGGTGAGTTTTGTTTGGTATTTCGATCTTCAAATATTAATATTATTCCCTTTTTTTTTCTAGGTTTTTTTTTTTATCAAACGTTACAAACATTCAAAAATACTTATATTTGGAAGGAACTTTCAAAAGTGAATTTCGTACAGACTAATAGTGATCACTTATATTATAAAAAAAAAATTAAAAGAAAAAACTTACCATAAAGAAATCAGAAAGGAAGTGAAGAAAATGAACAATATCTAACACAAGTAATATCCAATATAGTATGTACATTGATTCATCGGGTACAGTTTCCAAAGAGAGTACCAGAACTGAAGTGACAACTAGCTCGATTAACCACGTAATGAAAAGCCAGCGGGAATACCAAGTACCATTTTGTGCATCCACATGCGTTTGCATCCACTGTTATCATAGATAATAAATTAATATATTGTACCTATCATGAGGATTAACAACAGGCTGTAATTGCGATTTTGATGGTGATATTGGACTATATCTTAATTTTTTTGTACCAATAAATGAAAATAAAAATAGAAGAAAATAGTAGGTAAGAATTTAATTTCATTATCTTGCATAGCGACGGGGATTCTTTATTGTGGATAAATGTAGATGTCTATGGGTCACAGCAACCACTTACCATCAGGTGGACTGTGTGCTCGTTTGTCACCCTATCCTATAAAAAAAATATTTTCAGTAATACGAATGATATTAAAGCTTAGTGGGTTTATATAAAAGAATTATTGGAGATAAGCCTTTTCGTGAAATCGCATTACTGACATTTCAAAAAGATAAAATGTAGATATTTTCCATCGAAATTTGAAACTATCAAAGCTAATATAAAAAATACCACACAGTAGTACGTTATACTCGTAGATCCTAACTTTTAAAAATGTAAGATGTTTCCGAGTAATATATATAATTTCAATAATTCCATGAATTATTCGAGTTAAAGTACGAGAAGAGAGAATTAGTTTGCCTTAATCGTCTAGCTTAGCAGCCAAATTCTAGACGGTCGTAATGCCATCATATGACTATCACTTCTTCCCTTCGCTGAATTTGGTACTTTATGTCAAGCATAAAGTAGATGGTTATACTGCCACCTAACGAGAGCCTTAAGACCTTTCTGGCATATATGGGACATGCCAGACATATCCCGTAGTCACACCTTACGACACCTAAAAACGAATTTGGGTTATGGAATTTATTGCGCCGCCACCACACTGCAATATTAGATCTTAAAGTAAATAAATGGCAATCAACGCCTTAGCATATTAATTATTAAGTTTTTTTTAATAGGATTGGGTGACAAACGAGCACACAGTCCACCTGATGGTAAGTGGTTGCTGTGGCCCATAGACATCTGCATCTATCCCCGTTTGCGAATCAAAATGCAGATGCGTTGTAACCCGTGAGGACTAAGATGGGATGCCTCTTTTCCAGTAAAAAGGGTCTCCGGTTCTCTACACTGACCTTACGAGACACAACAGTGTTAAGCTGCTATTTTACGCTGGTATTCTGTGAGAGCGTGGTCCTTCCCCGGTAGAGCTGACCCATTCGTGCTACAACTATACTACTAATATAGCTGCAGCATGGCTCTACCACGTATAAGACTGATGAATAATAATTATATACATAATTATATACATAATATATACATAATATTAATTATATACATAATTATTATTCCTATATATGTCTCTGATCATGACGGTCACGGATTCAGTGGCTTTTCTCCATCCCAAATGTGTCCAACGTGCCTAAAGAAGTTGCAAGAGTGCACATTTTACTTACAGGTAGTTTTATTGACTTTTTTCCGCGAAGGATGTATTGAATAGTGTTATAAGGGTCCTCAGTTATAAATTCCGTAATATTCATAAAATCTAGTTTGGATTGAGCATCATTTTCAATATTACTTCTGGTCTAAAACCGAATTCACTGTCACAAAAACTCGTAAAAATGTGAAAAATAAAGTTAAGTAACAGTCTACATATATAATAATTAATAATACTAATAATAAACACAAGCTTCAAATTGATTCTGAATAAGTATTTGGAGTCGGTGTAACGGGTTTGATGAAATTACGAGTATACTCTCATACATCTCTACAGTAAGTCTCCCAATTCAGCCAATTACAAAATTTAAGTAACAGTTTCAATGCATCCCACTATCCACCACTGCTAATCCAGGGTTTTAGTCGTTTCTGGGCGCTAAAATTCTTTCGGAAATCTGGGAATGTCCTTCACGCTGCCTCAGTGCTTGATGGCAGAATTCACACGTTCATAAAATATTTTTAATTTCACAGATATCCAGATATTTCTTTACTTGACAGTAACAGCACTAATTAGGATCAAACTCATTTAATAATTGTGTTTTAAGTATGTAGGTGTGGAATATAGAGTATTAACAATAACCTCATTATCTAGAGCTTCTTGGAAATCCACAATAGATATTTGCAAAACGTCTGCATAACCTTCAGCCTCTGCGGAAATACGCACGGGTCGTGACTCTATTCCATCAAGCTGGCCAAAAATAGCCCCCTGTATAATAGACAAAAATTGTTACTTGAAATTTTTTTACAATATTTATAGTGACAAACAAATAACCCACCAAATTGTAAAGTAAATACTACACAGTAATACTTGAAACTAACTACAAAAAGAGGCCACAGTTGTGTTGTCATCCCTGAGAACTATGATGAAAGGCCTCAGAGCCTATATTATATTATATTACAAAATATTCTCAGCAGTGAGTGCATTGTTGCTTAGAGGTGGAAATAGTTATGAAGGTGGTACCAACTCAGACGGACTTCTTTGGAGACAAAGAGCCATAATAAATAGCACCGTTAAGTGCGGAAAATTTACAAATTATTTCTTAAGTTTACATAATTTTATTAATTTATTTATTATCTAGGTCTCCAATAACAAGTAATTTACTTACAACAAATAAGTAGATCTGTAACTATCTAATATTTTTAGGTACGGTAGATAATTATTCCAATGTATAAGAATAGAGATCAATCACATCATCTTTAAAAATTCATCATTTTATCATAAAGGTTAGTCATTAAATTATTCTACTAGACCCGATTTTCAAAAATCACGGACGACAAAAGCAAATGAGCAATGAACTCAATGTGATGTTCCAATTTGATTGGTAAGCGACTAGTATGAAAATGAAAGAAGATAAAAGAGACGAAAAGCTAGAAAATATTCCACCTAAATCCCGTTGAATGTGAACGTACCTATGATTTTGGAATTTTTGGAGTTGACAGCATTTGTGCTTAGATTGTGGTACCCATTTACGTTAATGCTCATTTACAAATTAATAAATAATATATATAAGGACTGCAACCTTGTTTTACTGTCTGTCGAAAAATATAGGAAATTTTATGGAAAGACGTATTAATCATATAGCTAAATACAATGTAATTTTAAAATAGTCTAATTAAAAAATTAACCTTCGTTAAGACTGCCAACTTTTCACCCTCTCGCTTAACAGCAATCTTGCCGCGATGGACAACATACACCCATGGAGCTAAGTCCATCTCCCTTACAATTTCTTGACCTGGTAAGAAATACATCTGAACGGAGGCGGTTGCCAGTTGTCTCTCTAGTTGTTCGCCTCCTTGTAATAATGTGTTGAGGGCTGCGAGTGTTCTGATATAATTGTAACTCGATTAGTGGTTTTTTGCATGCATTTAAAAAAAATTAATACTTTTAAAACAAAAGCTAATATTATCTTTATTATTTATTTAAACATACAAAACAGACATAGACAAAAAATGATAAAAATAGCAATTTAATAGTGTTGAATCTATAGATAAGTCATTAATGATACTTTATCCAAAATTGAATCAGAATAAGTAGAACATGTTTTCTTATCGATGTAATGATAAAAGTGTTTTGTATGGCTCTTACAATATTAAATTACTAAATATTAATAACTCTTGTTTTTTATTAGAAAATATAGTCAGTGCCTTATTTCGGTCGGCTTTACATTTCTTGTCCGTTGATATAAATATATCCAAATTCATGCAACTAGTACTGAGTTCATTTTAATTCAGGCACATTCGTACTTATCAATAAAATTATATAAGGATATGTTGTTTGATGATGTTTTTAACATTAAGTGAAAATTTAGTAGCGTTTCTACATCAATACGTGGTATTTAAGTCAATAACCCTATGGATAATCTACGGTAAAATTTAATAATTTCAATTTATCTACTACTAAAAAGAAATTTCACCTAAAGCTTTAGAAACTAAAAAGACGATCATTTTAGCGATCTGACTTGTGGATAAAGTAATTGTTTTTACTTCTTGGATTTGATTTTTTTGTTCAGATTATATTTATTTATTTATTCTTTTTTGCACCAAATATTTGTACAAAAGGCGAGCTTAATGCTATGTGGCATTCTCTACCAGCTAACCTTGGGTGGAACAGAAAGTGGGTTTGGGCAGTTAAGTTGTCATGATATTATTCAGTTCAAATATATACATGCAACACATACATAAAATATACACATATATATAAAATATATATAATTAATATACATATATAAATAAATAATATTTACTAGAAAATATCTGCAAGTGAAGCCCAAATCTAGGTATTGCATTTCTGCCATTAAAATATATATGTAACATAATAGATATTACGTTCATATTAATAAATCTCCAATATATAAATTCAATTTTGCGAGAGAACAAAATTCAAGGTGTGGTGCATCCGAGCTAAAATATTGATGATGGTAAAAAAATCATACGATACTATTACCAATGCAGAGATATAGGAATGCATATTGCGTAAAATTTAAAACCTTTACCAGCATAAGTGGAAAATAATATTATAAATGGTCAAGGAGAAATACTTACTTTTTAAAAAAATAATAATTCAAATCCTGTCTAAAAACGACACTAATGCGTTCATTCATCAATTGCTGTATATTTATTCCCTTAGTCCTAAAAAAGTCAATCCCAGGTAGTTATCAGTTTTGATATATAGAAATAAATAATTTATAATTTATAATTCATTCATTTTTTTACCTTTGCCACACATACTTAAAATGTTTCTGAGCAGAATTAATTACATGCTTTTCAATTCTTTCAGCCTCAAGAAATCTTTTGAGTTGAAATACGCCATGTTGAAAAAGCGTATTACTGCGAGTGTTTAAAACAAGTAGCGTGAGACGGTAACATAACACGCACCTGTAAAAGAATTTTAATAAAAATTGGTACACTGTTAAAATTTAAAATCACTATAAGGTTTATAACACAGTACAAATAAAATATTATTTTTTATGAAATCGAAGTGACAAACGAACTTTCCGTCCACTTAATAGTAAGTGGTTACTGCAGCCAACTTTAAATGATTAAGACACAGATGTATTTTCACTTCTGAGGACTAAGATGGAATACATTATTTTCTTGGCTATCAAGGGTATGTTACCTTTTGTAGTAGAACATAGCAGTGTAAGCACTACTATAGGTTAGAAATAGGTAAAAGGCTGTTACCTACCCAGGCACAATACTTTTATACGCAAGTACATCTACAACTATATTTGCTATGTAAGATTATGAACATATTCCATATTGAACTAGCCAAGTCAGTTGTCACGCGTGACGTTTAAGGTAAACCCTCACTACAACAGAGGCACTTGTTCGGCGTTGGACTCTTTGGTGTTGATGAAGTAGAATAAACCTGAACGCTAAGCCTGGTAGTCTTAAAAGTCTAACATTAATAGCTTAAACTATAAAAGTGATAAAAAATTTACCAGAAAGAACATCCAAGCGATAGCAGAACCAAAGTAGTGCTGATATCATCCCGGCTTATCTTAAACATTCCTAAATCAATTCGCATGAGACCACTTTGAGCAAAACTTAAGCTTTGCGCAAAGATCTGTTGATAAATAAAAGCCCGCGTGAAGTGTCATGGAGTTAATGCAGGATAATTCAATAGCAGAAATATCTATGTCAGCTTAAAAAATCTAGTAATTATGGAAATCCCCCTTAAGTGGAATGGCTTATGTCCAGCAGTTAAATTCTATGAATTCATGAAACAGAACAAGATTATTATATTCTAAAGAATCTAATAATATAGATATCATTATTACAAATTGGATATCCATGTTTTGATACAATCCTTTAATTTATTACGATTACGGCAAACATTAGAAAGGTGATGACAACGAAGTCGTCAGACCACAGAAGTTGACAGCTAAAATATGCTTTTAATATGATGATACAAAATTATTGTCTTATACAGTTTGTATTGTTTCAATAGATGTAACTAACCATGCGAATGTTTTCTTGAGTGAGCTGGTCTCCATTAATATCACTGAAAGTCGGAAGCCAACACTTGCTAATGAGCGTAGCATTAGTAAATGTGCCCGAGCTATCCCAAGAAAAATAGATACATTTTCTGACGAAATAGTGACTAGCAGCACACATCAGGAGTATAGAAATAACTTCCCATTTTAATATCTGATGAATAAAAAATGTTTATTTATAGAAGGTTGTTGTTTGTTCCTTCCGTGGTGTGTGTTTCGCTCCTTATAAGAATTTGAATTTCAGACGAAAAAAATGACTGCGCACTTTTAAAATGGACTGTAAAAACTTTGTTATGTACACGACTTCAAGAGACGTTAGGACAATTTTATAAACATAAATTGCACTAGGACAAACATCCAGACTCCGAAAAATTATTTGTAGGCCATACAAATACTTGTTCCGTGCGGGATTCGAAACCGCGGTCCCCAGCGCAACAACTCATTGCTAAGCCACTGCGCCACGGAGCGGTCATAAAGATATATTATTAATTACGTTTGTTTAATTTAAGCGGTAGTTATAAAAATGTACATTAACGGGCTACTGGTCAACCCATAACAAGGACTCTACATTGATTGGTTGGTGTACCCCAGCGTGATATGGTGCGCCTGTGCACCTTTTCACGCTGACATTGTTCACATACTCCTACAATAGGTCTTCACCGCTTCTCGTCACTCACCACACGAAACAGCAGCATTATACACGTACTGTTATTTTACACTGGTTTTATATGAAAGCAAGGTCCTTATTAATAGGCGAGGTAGCGTCGATCCATTGGTACAAATGTATAATTATTTTCTACCGTCTCTTACAAGTAATTTTTCTAATTTTTAAACATTAATTCTAAATTAATTTAAAACTAAGTAACATAATTATAACACAAATTTTTGAAGTTTGCTAACTAAAGTACTCGTAGGTATGTAAAAGCAGCCAATACAGACCATAATCAAAGCTTTGTTCACTGTTGGAGTATCAGCCAAATAATCAAAGTATCCGACTACTAAATACAAATGAGCAAATATGCTTAACGTATTAATGAGTAGAGCATCGTTGTCGTCAATTTCTTTATTTAAATATACCATGAATAATTCGTAAAATGGCGTTACTCCTATCACGTCCATTAAAAAGCCTCGAGCGAGATAGTGTTTTATACAAGCTCTTATATCCGTAATAAGTAGACCTCTTTTATCATAATAGGGCATCTGAAATAAGTTAAATAAAAATCAACGTATGACATTTTTTTAAGCAATAAGAAGGTTACAGATGTTTCTTGTAATAAAAACTAGGTAGTGTTGTACCCTCCTCATCATTCATTTTCATCTCTTCTTCAGTCCGTAGAAGCAGGCATGACCTGAGCCAGACATGGGCCTGGACCAGACACGACGTCTCTATGGAACTGTTTGCCTTAATCCTCACGTCTGGTAAACCTTGGACCATTTTTATGAAACACTGAAGGTAGCCGGGTTAACTATGACATGGGGACGTCAAACACCTCAGTCCCCCCGTGACCATGGGTGTTGTAAAGCACCCGAAACGTTGGAAGTTAAAAAGTTTAATTAAAAGCGATAAAATCCGTAAAAATTAGTTTCATTTAATGTGTAGTCTTCGCGTAAATATAAGAAATCAAAAATCTTTCAACTTACGAACATCTTTAACACTATATCGACGATAGATATACAGTCACAAAATGCACTTATTATCATCAGTGGCCACCTCCAGTATGCACCACTTCCACCTGGCATAAAACAAAATAAAGAACAAATAATTTAAAAAGATATCAAGCATAAATTACTACATAAATTAAAATGGCATATAATTTACTACAAATCTTAATTTAAATAATTTGAAAAAAGTCTCACTTTTATTTGGCCGATCATATAGTTACATAACGAATGTATTATACGTTTTTAATCTAGCTAGATTTCTAAGATTAAAATATTTCTTGTAACAGTATTATTCCGTGAAAATGATTACAAAGCATAAACATAGTCAATGATTCCCGATTCACTAAAGCACTCAATCATAAACTCAATGTATGGGATGTAAGGTAAAATTGACTTATCTCTCAAAACGCCAACTTCATATGCATGTGTGTCACACCCTCATGATTGTCATCTCTTAATCAAAATTTTGATGACTGAATTATGGTGGAAAACCATCCAATAACCACGAATCTACAACCCTCGGACTGGGAGCAAAGTTACTTGAGCGTCTCAACTCTGTGCTCACCGACCCGCCTGAACAACATCGTGGTGAATATGGGAATCATTATCTAAGGCTGCAGAGCCAGTGTAATTTAACGCAAATCATCAGTAAGCTAAAGTGATAACGGCAAACACCGATAATCCAGATATGATGATAGGATCGATAACAAAATCACGTCACAATATTACGACATAATATTACCATGTTAATCGTTACCGAATTATCTTAGAAACTAAGAAATCGGGTTTTACTATTTTAAAAGTTATTTATACCTTTTTTCTGACTAGTAAGCGCTGAAATAGATTGAAAATAGTTGATTCTATGTTATGTTTCTAAAAAGTTTTGTATGGCTATGGAAGAGCGGGAGTCTCTGACACAAGCGCCTTAAGGTACTTAAAAGACGCTCCCTACCTTATGCAAATTGTTAAATGCTTAATGAAATAAAGGAGATTTAAAAAAATCCGATAGCAATATTAAGTCAGCACTTTCTTGCCTGTGGACTGACTTATAGACTATAAGAAACCTAATGCGAATCTCACCATCGTTATTACAGCTTTTCACAAGTCCACTACACAAAACAGGCCTCGCTCAACTAATGGCACAAAACAAGGTTCGGAGCCAACTGCATCAATTAACTTTCTACACATCTTCCTAGGTCATCACTCCATCTCTAATGGAGTAGCAGGCACCCACTTCGCTTACCGATATGAAGCTGCCACTATAGACATTGGGCTGCCTTTTTTTCTCATCCCTTTCAGTTCTTCGAGCTATATGTATAACTGGAGCATTACCAATTCAACTTATATGCTCTGTCGGTACGGATCAACGTATGCATGTCTAAAGTTATAATATTACATGTTTATTAATCAATTTAAGTAGGTACCTTGTAATGCTGCAGAAATTATTGATACACATACAATCACCGTTCTAAAAAGCATCCAATAGCGCATGAATCTGTAAGACAAATATGCGCCATTAGTATGCAACCTCCGTTACAGCGTATCAAAAGTCCATTGTTGAACACAGGGCTTCCTCATAGATTTCCTCATAGGAGGGATATTTTTGTTGCCACGCCTGGCAAGCGGGTTAGGAATCACAGTCTTTCTACTTTTTAATTGTTATTAAGAGGACGCTTCTACTCCTCTCCTGGTTTGTTTTCCCTTGTCACCTCTTATTACCGATGTCAATGTCAAAATGTAAACCATAAACTCATTTTAATTTGGAATAAATAACGTTTTGATTTTTGTGGTATATTTTTGGCGTAAAAGATTTATCACGCATCTTGCACCATATGTAAAATAAAAGAGGAATAACCGAAATGCCCGGATAATCTTGTGTCTTTATATGAGGAATGTTTATAAGCTGATGCTTATTAACTGCCCAAACGCAAAATTCGCGCTTAGACGTGGAGTTGCGAACACTAGATGTGGTCAAACAATCACACGCTAATGTGATGAGAAATGATCTAAAGTAAAATTTGGAAATCTGTCTAGAAGAATATCTGTTTGTATAAAATCTCCCGGTTGTGTTCGTTACAAGAACTATTGTTACTAAAGAGATTTAGTAGTTAGTTACTAGTTTTATCACCTACCAGGCAAAATCATATCGTTAAATTTATAAAGTAATCTAAAAATTTATTTCTTTTTAATATGAATCAGTGTAGACTAGTTTTATTTATTTAAAACAAAAGAATACAAAGGGCGGACTTAATGCCTTGAGGCATTCTCTACCAGTCAACCCATGGAGTGATGAGAATTTGATTAGTAGAAATTTGATAGTTTTAATCTGTCTTATAATCGTTTTCAATAAAAATGTCTTAAAAATCATCACCGTTTCGCATAACGCAAAAGTAAACACCAACGGTTAGTTATCTTACATAGTTTTAGTAAAATAATCGAGTATCGCTAATAAATACTTCGCAAGTCCACTGCTAAACATAGTCCTCCGAAAGAAACTCAGTAAACCGCGGTCCTGAGTCACCTGCATCAATCGACTTCCTGCATCTCTTACCAGGTTGATACTCCATCTAATGGGGCCCCCATTCCTTACACTTCGCTTACCGGTGTGAGGCTGACTCTCGAGAATCTTTCTTCCCCATCGGTTGTCAGTTTTTCGTTTGCTGGGTTTCTTGCTGGTTCTTCCCAGGGCAGAGGTTTTTTTCGAACCAGTGGTAATTAAACAAAATAGAGACTTTCAATAAGTATTATTTATAATCTATATTGAATAAAAAAGTTTCTGTTTCTGTTTCGAGCTATATGGTGCGCTGGGCTATACGCCATTTACTCTAGTTCTACTGCGGATATCCTAATTGCTAAGATAGCCCCGGAGAAAAACTCCGAGCATATCCATCTCCAATACTTGTTGAGCAACCTTAAGCTTCCTCATGCCGACAGTATTAAAGGACCACGTCTCAGATCCATATGTCATCACTGGCAATACACACAGATTGTACAATCTAGTACAAAAAATAGTATCTAATAGATAATTAAATATGCTAACTTCGAATCAGGTGCTATATTGCTATATGTTAAATATTCAAAACTTCTTGCACTATCCGCTAGATTTATCCGCTGTCTCTCCACTGTTGAAAGTCTAGAATGAAAAATTCGCTGACGAATTTTTTTCTGGTACTGTAAATTCAAATATATTAAAAAAGAAAGATAAATTGGGTCAAAATTAAAATAATTGTTTTACTTTTAGCTAAGGCAAGAAGTTCTTTAAAAACACACTAAAGATCCTACATACACCCACAGTTTCGCCGTATAATATTTTTTTAATATATATGTTCAATATCACCTGCTTATGACATTATCAAACGGTATTATAACATCATTAAACGTTGCGGTAGTCTTATATATTTATTTATCATTTAATGAGTACCAAGAAAATATCTACCTCCGCAAATCGTCCCGTGAGTGTCGTAAGAGGCAACAGAGGAAAACACGCTAGGAGAAGAGCAGTAGCGACTTCCTAATAAAATCTGTACCAAAAATTGTGGAAGCCAACCCTGCCCAGCGTGGCAACTTTGGCAAATATATCCACCTGAGGCCGCTGTTTACCTACGGGAAGGCCTTTTGTTCAGTAGTGGACTGTAATGATAACGATTATGAAGATAATTAATAGAATCAGGCGTTACTTTACGGAAATCCATTATATAAAAGCTTTTAGAAAAATTTACTTCGCAAATATCCGCGTTATAAAATAAAATGATGTGTCTTACCTAGTATGAAGAGCACCTCCCGCCCTCCCTCAATTGCGGGCACTATCCCCGTCACCACTAATCCCAGCACCGCTACTCTCAACACCACTACACTAGGCAAGACACACCACTGACGATAATATGACACGTGTTTCGCCTCTACACGAGGCATCCTCAGGTGATATAGACTCTATCTAGAGGTGCTCTTCATACTAGGTAAGACACATCATTTTATTTTATAACGCGAATATTTGCGAAGTAAATTTTTCTAAAAGCTTTTATATAATGGATTGAATGATTGAATGAAGATTATTTAATTTTCATTTATATATGAATTTTCATATGAAACACTTACATCTCTATGTTTCTTCATATGATTTTGAATGAGTTTCTCAAATCCTGGTTTAAATTTATTTAAACAATCCTCGTAACGTGCGTGCTCTGCTGGGTAACGTTTCGTAACATTGAAGAATTCGGTTATATTGATAAATAGAACCTAAGATGCAATTTTACCGCATCAAATGTTAAGTTTTTATTGGTTAAATATAGGAAAGGATTTGTTACAAATGAACAATTTAAAATTACCTCGCAATCAGTGTTTGCACTGTAAGTTTTTAGTGACGGTATTCCAAAAAATGCCGAAGTAAATGCTAGAATATCTCCAGGTTTGTAGAATGTTTTAAGTAATTCCCCTTTTTCGTTATGATATTCGCATTTAATGCAGCCCTATGTTATAAATATATTAAATATTTAAATTATTTTTGTTTGTATTAAAAAAAAGCTGTTACCATATATCATTAAACGTTTTATTCCACCACCTTAAGATACATAAATCTATCTTCGATCAAGGACCAAAATGCAGATGTGTTATCATCCCTGAGTACGAAGATGGAATGCCTTATTTCAAGTAAGAAAAAAATCTCCGGTTCTCTACACTCGCTACATAGCAGCCAACCATTCATCTCCCAGTCAACCATTAGTCTAAACAGAGATAGACAAACAAGGTGCGACGGTGGCGGAATCCAAATAGAAAGGGCTAAAAAAAATTGTATATATACATATAAATATACATACACACACACACACACACACACATATGGAACACACTGGAAAATTGTTTTAACAAATAAAAATACATAAATAAATAAAAACCCAACCAGATGGATGCCCTCGGCAGGGGAGACCAAACGGCCGAGGTTTAGGGGGAAAGGGAAAGAAACCGCCGGACGATGCAGCTCCGCGATGTTAGCACCTCATGTGCGGAATTTCGATTTACTAATTATACCATCTGAAAGGTCAGAAATTGGTCATAAAGGGTCAGTTGGTCTTATTAATTAGTCAGCATTAGAAACATTTTTATTAAGGGTTAAAGTTTTTCAAGGTCATTCAGAAATTTTAGCATCTCATTCGCGAAAAAAATAAAACATAAAAAATATGCGAGATCGAGAAGCATTCGCTGATAATTGGTCAGCTTATATAAATATTTGGTCAGTTTAATTTAATATTAAAAAAAATTAAATAAGTTGGCATTGTCGTAACGCGCATGCTTTGGGACGGTTAATTGTAACTCAATCTATTTTTAAAACATTTCATCTATCATGTGGGAAGTCATGGAATGTAAATGGCAGTTAAATTTTGTTTTGTTTAGTTATGATTATTTTTTTCAATTATTATATATTGCTATTTAACTATTATATATATATATATATATATATATATATATATATATATATATATATATATATATATATAGTAGCCTTGTACTAATATATTTTAGAGTATTAATATAAAGTTAAAGTTGAAAAACTTAAATCATAATAAATGTATTTTAGAAATTAATATGTAAATAAAATATTTCTAATTTCAAAAAAACGGGCCAAGTGCGAGTCGGACTCGCGCACCGAGGGTTCCGAACAAATCCGTAGGCATATAAGTTTAAAATTATTAAAAATATTTTTATTATATGACTTAAAAATTTATACTGTTCGCTATAAAACGTTGCTTTGTACCAAATTTCAAGATTCTGAGTTCACGGGAAGTACCCTGTAGGTTTTGATTCCCTTGCGAATGTCGAAAATTTGGGGCATAAACGGCTGTATCTTTGTTTAGAAGTTTGATTTTTTCACAGTTCGAAGGGACAGTATACTTCAGTATTTGAAATGAATTTCAGCTTAATACCTACACGCGTTCCTGAGAAAAAGGGTCTTGACAGACAGACAGAGGAAAAACAAAGTGATCCTATAAGGGTTCCGTTTTTTCTTTTTGAGGTACGGAACCCTTAAAATCATGTTTATATAAAATTATTATAAAATAAGCTAGTTAACTATCACACCCCAAATCCCATGCACGCACTTTCACCTTCACGTAGTTTAAAAAAATATCCTATTTCTTTCTCCACTATTATATATTTGATAGTAGAAAATCTAAGTTTCTAATTCTAAGTCTAAGTATTTTTTCTCAAAAAAGTATAAAAAATATTCCCCCTCCCCCTCCCTCTCGCTCATAGTAAAGAGCTGTGCGTAAGTGCTCAGTGTCTTGATACAATTAACCGTCCCTAAGCATGCGCGTTACGACAATGCCAACTTATTTTATTTTAAAATATTAAATTAAACTGACCAAATATTTATATAAGCTGACCAATTATCAACGAACGCTTCTCAATCGCGCATAGGTGAATTTTTTTATTTTTTTCGCGAATAAGGTGATAAAATTTCTCAATGACCTTGAAAAACTTTAAAACTTAACAAAAAAAATTCTAAGGCTGACCCCAATTAATAAGACCGACTGACCTTTTATGGCCAATTTCTGACCTTTCAGATGGTACAATTGGTCAATTGAAATTTCGCACATGAAGTGCTAACATCGCGAAGCTGGACGATGCGGGCGGTATTGAGGAGCACCGTCTTCTGCAGTTGAGCTTGGAGCGGTCCGTCACGGAGTCCCAGTCGTCTCAGATTACACGAGAAGCGGTGTGGGATTAACCCGTTCGCAGAAACGACTACAGGTATAATTTCAGTCGGCAGCCCACCCCACATGTCGTTCACCTCGTGAGCCAGGTCCAGATATTTTGTTCGTTTATTTATTTCGGCTTTTACGAAGTTCTCGTCATACGGAATGGTAATGTCGACCAAAAATATCCGTGACTATGCCCGGTCCATCAGCACAATATCAGGCTTATTCGGAAGAATAGTCCTGTCTGTGATGATAGCCCGGTCTCAGTAGAGCCTGGCGCGGTCATTTTCGAGCACGGCTTCCGGCATGTACTTATAATAAGTACCCCCGAGGAGAGGGCTGGTAGTGTCGCGGATGTATGCGAAAGCGGTTCCGTGACTCTGCCAATATGCGGCGAAGGTGAAACAACATGGGGTTTTTGTCGGTGCGAGTCCGACATAACACGTACTTGCCCCCACGAGACGGGAATGCGTAGGCATTTGCCCATGAAAAAAAAAGTGTTTCTCTAATTCAAGTATGACTGAAATTCACCATCGAAAGTATTTTTCCTGTCAGTCCTATTTAGAGAACTTCAATAAAATAGATTATTCCTTATAAAACGACCGCACCTGTAAGGACGGACCACTCGGAATACTGCACCTGTATTACCCCTGGTATTTCATGGGCGACAGTGGTCACTTATTATCAAGTGAGCCGCATACTCGTTGGTCTTCTCTTATGTAAAAATAACCCTATTTCATAATTTTAACAACCAATAAAATCACAATATGTTCTGGGGATAGTAACTACACCAAACAATTTCTCTAATATATATTTATAAAAATATAAAAATATTAGCAATTCCTTTACAGTGGTATGTTTACCGAAATATTTTTCTTGGTTTTTTTCTAACCTTAATAAATAATTAAAAGCAACACTTGATTAAAACCTATTTAATTACTATAATTTATAATTATTTTATACTAACTTGCACCAGCCAGGTAATATTTTTGGGTTGAATACCATATATAAAAAGCGTCGCTTTTTTCGGAAGCATTAAGAATTTAGCATTGTAGGCGAGCTCCCTAATAAGAGAAAGATCAGTATACCAAAAAGCTCGTGATTTCCTTATTATTTTTTCAGCAACTTCGCCATGAACTTTCCAGTATATATCATTGGGCTCATTTTGCAATAGATTGGGATATAAAACATCCATTCCTTTGTAATATTTCCAATGACACATTAAATATCGATCTAGTCGTTTTAGAAGATCCGGATGTATTTTGGATTGTTTGTAATGTTTTTTGATGTTTGTCACGAAGTATTGAAAGTTAGATTCCTCTTTATTGTTGGCATGAAACATTCCAATCAAAGCCGACTTGCAGTAAAGAAAGTTCAAGAATCCTACATAAGTGATTATCATTGCCACATAAATATCTACTAATTTCAGAGGTAGAAATTCAGAAAAGAGATATTCTAAAAGCCACGAAGTAAAGACTTGAAAGACGTGATTGACTTTATAAGTACACGTCCTTTTAACATTATCTAATTTGCAGAAATGTTCTCCAAAAATATATAGTATATTTAATTCAGGAAAGATTTTTATTAATGCAAACATTAAATAACTTGAAACATAGACAAATATAAAATGTATCAAACATACATTGAAAAATACACACATATAGTGATTTCTTCCGATACTCCACTTAGAAAACAGAATGTATACTTTTATGAGCCGATTAAATTGCACCGGATAGTAATATTCAGCTTTTCCTAAAAGTGTCACTAAATGCTCAACCCATATAGTAGATAAGACATCAAAGAAAAACCGTGAGCTTTTAAAGCGTGCAAGCATTACTGTGGCAAAGTTCACACGAATTGTTGCTTGACTTTCGGTAGCAGTTAAGAGGGACACACATAAATCCGACATATATATGAAATCAGTCCATAACTGAAAGAAATAGAACCATGTCGGTATATCTGCTCTAGTTATATTAGGTGGATAAAGAATCAAAACAAGTGAAACTGTGACCATTACAATTTTATGCCACACCAGACTAAAATTAGAATTCGGTACCAAAATAAAAGGGAAATTGACACTGGCAAACAATGAATTCCTTTTCAACTGCGTATCCGTACAAAGTACTAACTGTCCAATATACTTAGCGCAATGATAAACTGCTTCTTCTTCTGACAATCCAAAATTCGCTTCATTTTCCTGTCCCTGTTTTATTTTAAAATGAGAAATAGCATTTGATATCTCCCACCATCTTTTCTTAATCCAAGCAATCCCTTCGTCTTCAGCCCTGTCCAAGCCTCTTACATTGTTTTTACATGTGTATAGTGTATGAGCATGTTTTATCTTGTCTTTAACACGTTCTAAAATGACTTTACGGTCTTCTGGAAATATATGCAGAGACTTAAGGACATCTGCACGATTTACATAAAATACTTCGCAATAACTCAGACAGCGAACAATAACTTTCCGTTCCAATGGTGGTAGAAAAAAACTGATATCACCAAAAATGGTCCCACTGGTAACTGATATAATAGGTGTTATACCATCGTCATTGGAAATCAGCTCAACAATTCCAGACTTTATATAATATAAATGTGTTTGACACTGTAAACCGACAAAAAACCTTGAACCAGGTAATTTGTAATCCAGGTGTATATAGTTACATAACCATCTTTGATATGGATTAGATGTTTTCCTTAAAGTAGGGCTATGGTGAAACACAGGCCAAACTAAGTCTTGTTTAATATCAATTTTCAAATATCTTGGCAGTTCTGTAATAATTTCAGGAATACGAGTAATACCTCTATGTTGCTTCCATACTAAAGCATAAAATTTTTTAACGTCAATATGTGCTTTTGGTGAAGGATTTCTTCTCTTTGTTTCAGCTATAATTATTCTCACTCTTGGATAAAATGAATAAATATGTCGGAGTCGTAACAATGCTTCGGCAACCAATTTTGGATAAATTATAAATGTTTTTATGAGATAGAAAAATATCATCAACATACTAAAATATAGATATTCTGATAACGTTGATGCTTTTATTTCATCATACATAACATTCAGTGGAAAAGAAAAAATAAATAATGCCCCATAAACGTATGTTGAATATACTGTGCTTGTTTCATTTAGCTGAAATTAGTTATAAAGAAATATTTCAATACATCGCAAAAAATTTTACTGCGCCAACTAAATGCAAATTAATAAATCAAAAATACAATGAATGATAATGTGATTTGATATTTTCCAGGGTGAAATAAGCTTTTAAATAAAATTATAAAATTAATATTGTTTTTTTTTTTATAAGATAAGGGTGACAAACGAGCCCACAGTCCACCCGATGGTAAGTGGTTGCTGTGGCCCATAGACATCTACATCTATCTTCGATTAAGAATCAAAATGCAGATGCGCTGTCACCCGTGAGGACTAAGATGGAATGCCTCGTTTCCAGTAAAAAGGTTAAGCTGCTACTTTACGCTAGTATTCTGTGAGAGCGTGGTCCTTCCCCGGTCGAGCCGACCCAAATGATAATGTGATTTGATATTTTCCAGGGTGAAATAAGCTTTTAAATAAAATTATAAAATTAATATTGTTAAAATAATAAGATGTTTAACAATGGATTATAATATAGTGAATATAGATATTTGCATAGTAATAGAATCACATATATCGCTTTAATAAAAGAATCCGACCAGAGACAAAACTTCTAAGAAGCGTTCAAACAACATCTGGCAGGATCAGTGATCGCAGTACTAATCTCTCACTTCATTTACACTGCTTCTCAAAACTGGTTGGAGTTTCTTTTTACATCACATACACATCTATTAGGGAGAATGAGTTACATATTTCTGGCATATCTTACTTTTGCTTTTTACTACACTTCATCACACTGAGAAATATTGGTCATTAAAAATATTTATATATTTTTTACTCATTTTGATGCTGATAATTTATATACAGGGTTATTTTTCAAAAAGTAGATAAATTTTATATTGAAGTTCAAATAAATAAATTGTTATATTGTACCAATATTATTTTTTTAAAATAAGAGTAAATAAGGATACTTTCCTTATTATGGCGATTTTAAAAAGTAAAATAAACTATTTACAACTTTACGCAAGTAGTCCCAATATCAAATATTGGTACCTCAAAATGGAATCCATTTCACTTGTTGGAATGTGAATAACGAACACACTACACGTAAAATAACCGCTTATTCACAACGTAAAGCGGATCGAAGCGCGAACAAGCGACCTGACAGAGTCGGACAATCGGATCGACTGATGAGGCGAGAGAAACTGAACCGATTGCCCGGTTTTACATAATAAAAAACTGATAAACATTTTATTTATTTAATATTATCTTCCTGTGTCAACCCTACCAAAATAGGTAAAAATGATTAAACGCTCTTTAAGCAGGCAATACATGTTGGCCAAGCCTCAGGCAACGCGAGTGTAGGCAAATTGAATCAAGGCGACATGTTGATCAAGCCTGAATGAGTGAACATACTGATATATAACACTTTAATTTGTGCAGAAAATCGACACTGTTCCGAAGTGAGACGAGTCGTGGCGAACGTTCCTGAGTGGTGACAAGGCATGCCAAGGGAACCGTATACATGTTGGCGCTCGCCTGCACTCGGCCAACTAGGCGACTGACGACGAGCAATAGAGAAGCTAGACAAATATTCTGTCAATATGTTGGTACTCGCTTTCGCTCGGGGGTTATTCGTCATCTCACCCGACAAAAACTCGCCCGTTCGGGCGACTTGGCACCTTTCGAATTTACCTAATATTTATGGCGTCAACTCGCACGCTCGTACAAAGTACAGCCAGGAAAAAAAATTAACTAAATTTTAAAAACGACTTCAAATAAAACGACATTGTATTAAATCTTACTCGCCCAACCATAAAAATGTGAGAGAACTTAGTACAGTCACATACAAAAATCCTTTTTAAAAACGTTTAATATATTATGGTTGGACTTTAATAAAACAAAATCATATATCATAATTTTAAATATATTTCACAGAGCAACATCTCAAAACTATAAAAGCATGTTTCAACAAACAATAATCAAAGTCAAAAAAAAATTAAATTATATAATTTTTCTCAAAAGCACTTGGCTTGTTTATTAACTAAGTATAAAAATATGATCAACAATATCAAAATATAATCAACGGTATCACAAAATATGCGTGTTATTAAATAAATATAAAAATATGACCAACATTAAAAATAGAATCAACAATATCACAAAAGCATTTGGCTTGTTATTATCTAAGTATAAAAGTGTAATCAAAAATATAAAATAATAATCAACAATATCTCTAAAGCATTCTAATTATATAAATCAATAATATCACAAGAGCATTTGGCTTGTTATAACTACTTCTTACAACATACAATAATTGTCAGTATAATCACAGATCACGATTTTTGTGTTTATTTATTTTCAAATCAAAATATTAAAGAAATTATAATATAAGACTTTCGATACATAATTCAATACTTATGTTTCCGAGTCTGAGTTCGGTAATTGTGGTAGCAATATGTTTATCAATAGCACAAGTTTCTTTCTGTTTTGTCGTAATATTTGATCCTTTTAAGTATAAAATATGATAATAATTATCTTCTCGTTGTAAGATAGTCAAAAAATGAGTTTATAGTAGCATGCCAGCTCTCAACCATATTTGTAGTACGGTGATGATTGTTACTGCACGACCATTTGTCAACAAAAAATGAAGATTCCCTTAACCATGTTTCTACAAAATAATTATTAAATTGGACAATTGTTTCATCGTTTGGGCATTGAGACATAATGTACAACCAACCACTGTCAATAAACTCTTTAGGTAAATGTGCCAAAACAGTACACCTTTTTACGTGTTTTCGAGCCAGTGCAGATTTTGTAATGCCTACTTCATCAGCCTTTCGCCACAAACTTCTATAAAAATGAAAGAAACACCCACAAATGCAAGTATCTGGGAATTCATCTGTGATCGCTGACATTGCTGCCTGCTCGAAGTCGAGTATAATATTTTTTGGATCGAACTCAGGATTTTGACTCTTGATCAGGGAAAACAACACTTTGTAAGTTATTTTAGTTTTGTTTGGCAATAATGCATAAATCACGGGTATGATGTTAGTATGTGTTTCACTGCTTCCTAAATCAACATATAAGGTGTACAAATGCTGGAAGGGTTTTAGACAAAATTTAAAAGTCCCGTCACATAAAACTGTCAAATTACAATTTGCCAATATTGTTCTACAAATGTCACTAGCGAAAACCAAAATTCTATTCTTTGAGCTGTCGTAATCAGCTAATAAAAAACTTTTGAATTTTTCGGGTACGACAACTTGCTTTAAAGTGTTGCAACATAGTTTTTTTACACCCAGGGACTTATTTCTATTTCGGTAAAACTTATTTTTAACATTTTTAAATTGAGGAATTTTTGGATGAGGTTAGTTCCTTTGTCTTTTAGCTCAGCAACACTCTGTCGAAAAACACTTGGTATGGGTACAGTATAGTCAGTCTTCACTTTTTCCATGCAATCGTTGAATTCTACTTCCAACTCATTTGACGGAAAATCCGGCTCACAGTTGTGTCTATCCTCCCGCTTGATAGAGTTATCAGTATTTATAGTAAGCTTTGCTTTGCATATGCTTCGTTTAGAGCATCTCCAAACACAGGATCCTTTATTTTTCCTATGTTAATTATATTTATGACCCGCACGAAGAAGTACTGGCTTTCCTCTTTGTGAAATAATTGTTTTCAGACCAGTTCCAGAATTAGATGGACCAGATTGTGATTCAACTCCTAAAAAAATTGTTATTATTGAAACCGGTTTTTTGAATCAATTCGTGAATCTAGGCAAAGTAAACCATTTTTTTATAAATTTCTTTTTTTTTAAATTACTTATAGTCATAAAAAATCTTAAAATAATTTATAATATTTAATTTATGTCTCATAGTTCATTCCAATGTCAGTCAATATAGGACAAAACAAGATGGCAGCCACAAAAGCCATATTTTTTAAAATATTTTAATACTATTAGGACAGTACTAAAATAAAACTAGTAGTAATAAAATGCAATTCATTAAGACATAATAACACTATGTAAATAAATTAAATAAACTTACCTCCAACGTACATAAAAAACACTAAAAACACCAATATTTTAATAAAAAAAATAATCCATATCGCAGCTTAATATGCGCGGGCGCAGTACAGTACGCTTTACTGACTGACGTCACGATGCGCCACGATTTCGATGGAGATAAAGGGTAAGATAAAAAGAAAGAGACAGCGCTATCCTTTTGTGAGCATTTACCTGTTTAGCTCGGCAGTGTAGAAGAGCGCTGTTCTTTACGGCCGAAATATTTTTTGTTTTTTTTTATGTACCTATATATATATCAGTATATATATATATCTATTTCGGATATAAAACAACAATAGTTAGTCTGTAGCTTTATTATAAGTTTTAATAGAATGTCGTTTTATTTGAAGTCGTTTTTAAAATTTAGTTTAAATTTTTTTTACCTGGCTGTACTTTGTACGAGCGTGCGAGTTGACGACAGAAATATTAGGTAAATTCGAAAGGTGCCAAGTCGCCCGAACGGGCGAGTTTTTGTCGGGCGAGATGACGAATAACCCTCGCTCGGTAAGCTATGACCAACATGTATAGCCCACACTAGAAGCATTGCCTTTGTACGGTTTCTTTAGGTTTGTTGTCGAAGCTCTACGCTTTGACTGTTTGATTTGTTAAGCCAGCAATACATGTTGACCAAGTTTGAATAAGTGAACATACTGACATGCCCGAATAACATGTGGACACGAATTGCTGAGTGCAGGCAAGTGCCTTTGATTTGTGCAGAAAAACCAACACAGTTCCGAAGTGAGATGAATCGTGGCAAGCGACCACAAGTGGTGGCAAAGGCACGCCAAACAAACCGTATACACGTTGACGCTCGCATGCACTCGGCCAGCTAGGCAATCGACAATAAGCATTGGCGAGGCTAGACAAATGTTCTGTCTCTAGGTTAGTGCTCACCTTCGCTTCGTGAGCTGAGGGCAACATATAGCCGGCATTAGAAGCTTTGTCTTTGTACGGTTTCTTTAGTCATGTGGTCGAAGCGCTTCACGACATGCGGAATCAATACAATAAAACCTAAAAGGCCCGGCTCCCGAATGGTACTTATGACGTGGCTAACAAGAATCATAAAATCAGTTACTACGAGTAACTTTGTTCTTTTCAAGTAATTCCCAATAGTAACAAAGTATTAAGTTTCTCAAGGATACATATTAGTTCTACTTGTTGAACATCCTAAATTTAAATGAGTAATTGTTTATATTCGTATATCTAAAGTTTTCTTTTAGCGTTAGTGAGATGCCGCGCTCAGTATTTTTTACAAGTACATGCATCTGATGATAAGTGTCGACCGCCATCCACGAACAACTGCAACACCAGGGGAATTGCAGGTGCAGTGCCGGCCTTTCCAAGTAAGCTAAGTCACAAATTAACTTATTTTTATGTAATAGATTTTAAACAGGCGATTGTATTATTAACTGCTTTGAGTTAGGCAGTTACTGCATGAATTAATACTGACTTTATTATTTAAACTATAACGTATGTTTTCATTTAAAAAATATCGAGTGTCCATTCCACCTACCTTATGCATAACAAATTTTCGCCAGTCTTTATAATAATATATAGTATTAACGCAGTTCTTACATAGACCGATTTCGGTATATAAAAGTAAAAAGCAGGAAATGCAGTTGACAATAAGAAAGTATATTATTGTGAAACCAATGCAAAGCTTCCAATAATTATGTGTGGTAAGTAAGGAAAAATAGTCCGCTACCCTATAAATGCTGAAACATTTAGATATTGCACATCAATAGTTGCACCGACTAAACTACAATACTTATGTACATATTTATTATTTAATTAATATTGAGAATTACTTACGTCACGAACTCGATAAAAGATAATATATTTGGAAAGAATTTAATTTCAGTGCAATCGTCAAAGATCATAAGGCGAAAAAATGGAATCAAACATGCTATATCAATAAATAGCAAAAAAGCGGATTTTGGTAAGAATTCGCGTCTCATAGCTTCGTCTGTCACTTGTCTGAAAGAAAATCATAGGCATTCATTCAAAATTAAAAAAAAAACTTCCACTTCCACTTTGGTTAGCACCATGAGTTCATTTACAATTTAATTTAACGACTACTTATGACCTCCACCACTACTACACCTTCCGCATTTTTTTTAAAGCTGTGAACTGGGCAGAAAAAAATATTATGCATTCATACAGAGAATTCTACAAGGAATCGTCAGGGACACGGATATAATCACAAATATAACTATAGGGTTCTATCAGACAGGAAGCGGTCACACGTTCAAGCGTTGCGCGTTTGCGTTCTGCGTTCGAGCGTTCACTTGCTCACGAATCCCGCTGTTGGACGGTCTACGCGGTGCCACTACAGTCACCATGTTTTTTACTATAGTTCTTTATCGAAGACGAATTATTGATATTGTGAACATTAGCAGCATCAAAACGGAAAAGGAAACATTGGGTGTGCCCAGTAAACAAGATAGAGAATTTCATAGACTGTTTTGTAAATGACTTACTGATGAAGAATTATTTTATAATTCATTTTCGGTCCCCATTTCGCTGACAATTTCTAACCATGCTTCTGCTACTTTTCGGTTTTTATAATCATCATTCTTCACATCATATAAAAACACCTTTCTCGTACTAACATAATCAACTTCTCGGTCTCCGTCTTCCTTCCGATGTGGACACCGAACCAGCAGTGAACACTCGAACGAGTGCGTTTTGGTTGACTGACTGACGCGGACAGAATGCCTGCTGTCCGGGTATGTCTGTGTAACCACAGAATAAATAATAGTACTACGTAATGTGACGCAATACAACACAACAAACGCAGAACGCGAACACAGAACGCTTGAACGCGTGAACACCTTCTGTCTGATAGATATCCCATCCCATACTCCAAAATGTGTTTAAAAAATGTTGACTCTTTGTAATAGCTATGTACTCTATCTAACTACTACGTCACGCTGTCATTGATTTAGGAATAAAATGCGCAAAAAAAATTTCCCACGACGCCCCGTGGGTGTCGTTAATAACACTATGGGAAACCCCATCAAAACCTCATAGACTCCGATAGATATCACTAGATTTATTCATCTCATTAACACCAGGAGTATTTTATGTTTTAGTGTATTATTTTTTTATATATGCTATATCATCCTTCAAATGTAAATATTCCCCGTAATAGCTAGAATTTTAAAAATCACGTCTGTTTTAGTTTTGAGGTGTAGCATAAGTAAAATTAAAAATTTTGTACAAAGACTTCAATATAAATTAAATAAGAACATCATCAATGTAGTCGCAGTCAATGAAATGCGATAACTCAAAAACTACTGGTTAGATCTTGATCAAATTTATATGGGACCATATGAGAAGTACCAGCTTTCAAATAAAAAAGAATCATTAAAATCGGGGTAAAAGTGTAGAAATCCGGTACTCGCGTACGGGGGTAGCAGGGGGAGGGGAAGGAATTAGGGGAACTCCCCCTACCCTTCCTACCCCTTGCGGAAATGTATAGTTTTTTGTAATATTTTTTTTTTTTTTTGTAAAATATAGCCTTTTTTACACAGGAATATTGACTCATTCGACTCAACGGCTTCGGCGCTGCGGGAAGTGCAGCCCCTTCGACCTTGCGTAGCAAATCACAGGCACCTATGTCAGCCGTAGGGGCTAAGACTGGTCATAAGCCGAAGCTGTGGAGGTGAGCATGGATGCCAGCAATTTGCTACAGTGGGCGGAGCTGCTATCCCTCCACAATTACGGTTTAACAAAAACACTCTAGGGATAGGGCAGACAAGACTACGTAGAGTCGGGGAGTGTTGATTCGGTTTTAGTACAGATTCGACGTATCTTATCTATAAAGTCAGGTTGCCCTAATCTTGAATTAATTACGATTATATAAAAGTACATTTCCGAAATCCAAACAAAAAACGGTATAGAAGGTGCTAGCTTAAACCTGACAAGCCTCCTAAACTAAAAACATAATTAAAATTAAGAACCGGACGTGTACAACCAACCCAAAATATATTCACCTAGAAACAAGTTCTGAGGTAACACATAAAAAAACATTCTGAAGAATTGAGTACCTTCTCTTTTTTTGAAGTTGGTTAAAAAACATCCGTGACCGACAAGTACTGAAGTGATTCCAAAGAGTTCCCTTTTTCTAATTTTGGCGTGGAAAAGTTTAAAATCAATATATTACAAATTGTGATGATATTTTTATAAGTAAATGAGGCTCTCACCTATGCATTATATGAAGACAAGTATCAATACCGTAAATAAGATCGCAGCCGTAAAAATAAAAAGCCTTGATAAGCCACAGATAAATATTACGGTCAAGCACGTCCCAACAATATACAATTGGATAAATTGATTGTAAAGGTCCCTGTAAATTTACTATGTTATAATCTATTGAACTGAAACTTTGTGAAGATATTTGGATGTTTGCCTTCCAAGCACGCATTGACGACAAAATTAAGCCGGTTTTCCCACATAATGAAGCAAATTATAATTATAAAAAAGCTATTCCTGGTTCTAGCGAAAATAAAAGCTAGCTAGGACAAGGAAATCCACGCATAAAACGTATGTGCGTATTTGCAGATATTTATAAACGTGTATGAAGCTAGTATAAGAATTTTCCACAAAGTAAAAAAGATCGTATAATTTGGTTTATACGCATATGAAAATAAGTTACGAGTATTAAAAATAGTCTTACTTTATATATATGTTACGGCTTAAAGCTGATGTGCGTAAATACCTAGGTGGAGCCGGCTAACACAAGGTGCAGCCGATTGCGGTTGGTGTATCGAACATAATTTATAAATCAGATAAATGTCTGCGGTTGTATGGTGGCAAGCTACTATCGCTGATATTACTTAATAAGTATTTCCGTATTTTTTCAAATTGAAAAGCAACTACTGCTGGCCACACATAGTTCTATTAACTCGCACTTCGACTTTAAGCCGTAACATATACTCGTATATATTATAATATGTTACCTGCTTAATATATCCTGCCTCTAGTGTTTAAAATTAACTCATATATCAAGTCCCATACACAAAACAGTATTCAGATTTCTTTACATGATTATTAAGAAATACAGCACATTGATTTATGTACTTACCAATATGCTTTTTACAATAACTGACAATAGAACCAACAGTTTTACCACTGGATGGAAAGGAAGAAACAGTAAATTGCTCCAGCGTATATAATTCTCTTCTAAAGGTGAATCATCGTCTTCATCATCTTCATACTTATCCATTAGCTCAGGACTATTCATTTTCTTTTTAATTTATTTAATATATAAATGAGCAATGTGTAATTTAATGCAAAATGCATGCAGTTTACTGTATATGCTACTAATATATAATATACTTTATTGCACATTCATATTCTATAATGCGTATCGAACGTAGTGATTTTATTATATTCTTTGTTGCCTATTTTACTACACAAAAATTGACAGAAATTACTTATGTAGCTTTGACATTAATTATTGTCAGAAATACAAGTGAGCATGCTGACAGCTTAAAGCGTCTCCCACACAGACGCGGCTTGCGGTGGCGGCCAGTTGTATTCGCTTGCAATGTAAGTGAGTCTGCAAACTCGTGCGGCCTTGTCGCGATCTGCAAGCGGCTGGCCGCGGCCGCATGCTCCGCCCCATTTGCCAATGCGTGTGTGTCAGCGAGTACGCGGTCAGTTGTAAATTTTTACAACAGGCCGCGTGTACCGCATGAAAAATGGTGCTAAATTCAGAGATTTTAATAGAAACAGTGCAAAATTATCCAGTACTTTATGATAATTCGCATCGTGATCACAAAAGCTTTAGCATTAACACAAAATTTATGATAATATTGCTGAATATAATAAAAACTTCGTCACGGTTTGTCATGTTCATACGTCCGATCGTAACATAGACACCTCAGCGAATGGCGCTTCAGGCCGCCACTTGGGCCGCGTTGGTGTGTTGTTACAGCGGCTGCAGCCGCGGCCCGCGGTTAGCCGCCACCGCAAGCCGCTTGTGTGTGGGAGACGCTTTATACATCTGTGTGCTTGTTGTACATTTGTTGTATGCAATTTTTTTTATTACGTGAGTCGGTTTAGTTTAAAAATATGTGGCCCCATCATTCAACCTAAAACGTGTCAACTCTCTAATATATGAAATTTATAATGGGTCGGGAAAAGGTTTGTATAAAATTTAAAAAAAATCTCTGATTTTACTGTTTGTATGTGGTTTTTTTTTCGATATTAATATCGATACGTATAGGACATTAAGAACAAAAAAAAATAAAACGTAAAAAAAATACTTTCCCGCCATTTTTCAATCGTTTTTCTGTCCGCCAAAATGAGTGAATCTAACGAAGAAATTCGATACATTCTGAAGTTTTATTACAAAAAAGGGAAAAATGCGACTCAAGACTCGAGAAAAATGTATGACGTCTAATACAGTGTCAGTAAGAGTAGCACAAAGTTGCTTCAAGCGTTTTCAGTCCGACAATTTTAATGTCATAGATGCAGCGCTCTGGTTGCCTTCATGCGGATAAATTCGATGCCATTTTTGAAAAATTGGAGCAAGATCGCCATATTATTAGTTACGACATAGCCGGAGGAATTGAGGGTTGACCACAAAACAGTTTTGACCCATTTGAAAAAGATATTTGGGTACCACACGAGCTCACTGAAAGAAACCTAATGAATCGATTACTCATTTGCGATTCTCTATTGAAACGTAATGAAACCAAACCATTTTTGAAAAGATTGACCACTGGGGATGAAAAGTGGATCACCTACGACAAGAATGTGCGAAAAAGATCATAGTCAAAGGGTAGTAGATTATTACGCAATAAGGTGATGCCGTGTGTATGGTGGGATTGGAAGAGCATCGTTTATTATGAGTTTTATCGTCCGGCGAAACCATCGGCTCGGATCTCTACTGCGTACAAATAATGAGACTCAATCAAGAAATTGAGAAAAAACGGCCGGAATTGATCAACAGAAAAGGAATGGTCTTTCATCATGATAACGCCAGACCACACATATTTTTGGCCACTCAGAAAAAATTGAAAGAGCTTGGTTGGGAAGTGTTAATGCATTCACTACATATTGCTGACCTTACACCCTCATATTTTCACCTGTTTCGGTCTCTTCAGAATTATTTGGGTAGTGTTAGATTAACATCAAGAGAGGACTGTCAAAACTACTTGTCGCATATTTTTTTATAGGAACTGGATTATGTCAAAATTTATAAAATGGCAGCTAGTTATCGAACAAAATAACACATATATATATTATAATTAAATGTAATTAAACTTTGAAAAAAATATCTTGAATTTGTATATAAAATACGAAGTAACTTTTTCCCCGACCTTATAATAATCTACGGTGTTAACGTAATGTTAATACTAGTTACATACCTACCGAAATTAAAAATAATTTTGTGTAGAGGTTGAGAGAGGTTTAGGTGAGTTTCCCCCCCGAACGGGTTCCCGCCTTGTCGTGGCGGGGGGGCTTAGTAGCCGTGGCTTGGTCACCCACGGTGAACAAAGAGGAACCCCTTGGCTGGCCCGTGGTGTAGGGCCGGCCCGAGGTAGGTGGCCACTCCGAGAGGGCTTGGGAAGTCCACTTCGGATGTGTGTCGGTGGGCTGCTGCGAGAGGGGTGTCCGCTCCCTCTACCGCTGCAGCCGAGGTGGAGTCGCGGAGGAAGAGGCGTGCTGGTATGGCGATGCGCCACTCGCCCTATCTTCCGCGACTCAGACGGGGCCGCACCGTTAATGATGCGGTGGTAGTGGGGCTGCGGGGGGAGAGGAGTGTCGGTATTGCGAGGCGCCGCTCTCCCTACCCTCCGCAGCCGAATCTTGGTTGGCGGCGGAGCCATAGACCAGATCCGCCACTGGGGTCAGAAAGGCTGGTGCTTCTGAGTGCTAGTTTTTCCTGGCCCCATGGCCTTCGCGCATCGGACACGGGGGCGTCCGTTGCGCAGGCGGAGTTGGAGGCTGTGGAGGGGGGTAGCTGAACACCTCGCTACCCCGTGCAGGAGACGAGGCCCGGACAGACCGGGCCAGCACTAGTGTGGGGCTGCGGAAGAATTTGGATTCCCGCGGCCCCGCGCGCACGTGCGAGGAGGCACCGTGGGGTTTTAGCCGGTAGGAGACCGGCATAACCTTCCGGTTGCCCCCGCAGCCGGAGGTATCCATGAGGATTTCCCCACGAAAAAAAAAAGGTTTAGGTGAGTTTAATAACTTGGCAACATTTGTTTTTTTTTTAATTTATTATAACATCACCAACATTTGTTAAGGCTTTAACTAGCCTGAATGACCTTGACGAAACGGCGATCGCAGAGATTTTAGCTGATGTCAACACCATCTAGCAACTATTTTAATAGACTGCAGAGATGATATTTTATAAAGTCATACTCATAAAAACAGCGTTTTATTATAATACATAATTATAAAATTCAGTATCAACTAATTAATAAAAATATGCAACAATAAAATTACATAGGTATTAAAAACTATCCAAATCTAAGTAACGAGAGCATGTTCGTCGTTCCACATCTAAATTATATAAAAATGCATTTTTCAATTTCACTAATCAACGTCGCCGCGGAAATTTCTTCTTCTTTGGGCACTTTAAAAATTCATTTATTTGGAAAATAATATTTACAGTTACCAGTGTACAGATATTAACTAAATTAAGTATTTCTAATCATAAATATATTTATAATTGAGTATAAACTTTTAAAAAACTAATATATATTTGAACGAAGTCGCTCCAACACCCTCGACGATGTCCGAAAACGAACTGTGACAGAGTTTACATGGCGACGGAGCATGCGCGCTCGCGTAAATATATTCAATTTCAGGTAAAAATGATATATTCTCTTATGAAACAGGTAATAAAAATAAAACTTTCAATTAAAAATATTAATATTTTTAAGACCTTTTTTTTAGTGTAAGAACTATTTAAAAAGCTTGTGCCGTTTTGGAGAAATTTTGCAAAATATGACAAAGATAGGTACTCTTTGGGCATTTTTTTTCTAATAAGGGGTTGACAAAAATACAATTTTGTTAAATTAAAAACATTTACCACATCTTCTTCTGTTACCCTGTATTTTTTCTTTGTGGATTAAATGAACAGTTATTGAGATTTTTTTGTTGTTTTAGATTTAGGCATTTCAACCACTGTTAAGGCCTTAAAATTATAATTTACATACATACCTAGATAGGGTATTACTTTAAATGCTACAAACTATTATAGGTGATTACAACATGCACTGGAATAAACATCAAGAATAATTCATAGTTACAGCAAACTAAAACTTTTAAAAAATCCAAAACTTATTCTATTATATTTGCGTTATGTTTGAGTAGTTATTTTCTGAACTTGTTTGGTGAGTCGGAATTAATATCTAATACATAGGAAAGTTCATTGATCAATTTACTTAACCTAGAGATCGGGGAATTTGCGCCAAATACCGTTCTACGAAGAGGTGGTCTAATAGTAATTATTCTCTTACGAGGGTACCTATGAGGTACGCGAAATTTTATCTTATTCAAAAATTGAGGGCAGTTAATTTTATTATTTAATAATTTGCTTAAGAAGAGTAAGTCGCATATTTGTCTACGATTAGCCAAGGATGTAATTTTGAAAAAAGATAGCTGTTTCTTATATGAAGAAAGCTTCTTTTTTTTAAATTCGATTTGGGTTTACTAAATGCCACATGAATCTTTTTTTGTATTCGTTCTAAGCGTGAAGAATTCGTTTCATAGTGTGGTCTCCAAACTACAGAACAGTATTCTAAGGTACTTCGTACTAAATTATTGTAGAGCATTATTTTGGTTTTATTGCTGCGGAAAAATTTAATGTTTCTTTAAAGAAATCCATTTTGGTGGCACGTTTTGTAATATTATTCCATATGCAGTATAAATGTGTTTGCTGTCAAATATGGCGCCTAAATCCTTGGTCTCTTTTAGTTCCTGCAAATTATTATTGCCGATGTGATATGTAACTGTAGTAAACTAAATTCATTTTCCGAGCAAATTTTACGTAAAAACATTTTTTTACATTGAGATCCATCTTATTCAAATTACACCATTGAAAGAGATTGTCGAGATCATACTGGAGCTTAAATGCATCATCTGTGGTTTCAATTGTTCTGCAAAATTTTAAGTCATCGGCATACATGTAAGATTCAGAAAATTTTAGTCACAAAGGCAGACCATTAACATAAATATTAATCAGAAGTGGACCTAGGTGAGATCTCTGTTGTACGCCAGATT